ACGAGAACGACAACAAAGTGTCGCCGCCCAGCCGAGGCCTGGCGGGACGGCTGCAGCAGCTCCTGACGCCCACACGACACAGGTCGGCGGTCCGACGCGCCGCCAGCGTGGATGAGCGTCGGCCCGGCGCCAGAGGGCGAGGACCCGCCGCAACTTCGATCCGCCGGCTGTCCGAGCAGCGTAGGTCCAAGAAGTCACAGGTGGCGGAAACGTTGCTGAAGGCCAAAGAACGCCTCACCAACGCCACTTCGGAGGTGACGCGCCGCCGCCTGCTCGCTTGCAAACTTTTGCTTGGGAAGAAGCGGAATTGACCAAATGTGGCTGACTCTTAGCGGTCAGGGAGCAGACGGCCAGACGCTAATCTGGCCTTACAATAGCCAAGTCTCCACTCGCTGGCTGATGCCCATGTCACTCCGCCCTTTACACATGCGCACTCAAAATCACATCCATTACAGTGTGGAACGTGATGATGGCCACCCCATTTCACATTTTGTTGAATACAACATCAAGTTTTGGGTGATTAGCCGATCGGTTAGTCGGTGGAATCATCAAGTATTAAAATATTTCATTGTTATTGTTATATAACCCATTGGAGTCATTTTTCTTGACCTAAAACTAAAGATTTCAAAAACTTGTAAGTCAAAGCAGTGGCATGATCGCAAGGCCCCACAAAACAATTTCCATTCAGTGAGGCCCGTTTCCCTTCATTTCCATGGCAGGTTTGTGAATTGGAATCGGATAGTTGTATTTTTTTTTTTTTTTGCCTGCGCGGTGACGAGATCGCTGGATTTGTTTGTGGCCAGAGCTCGCTGTCGCTGGGTAGCGACGCCGACCCGGTGGACACGCCGCGACCTCTCCACCACTCCTGGGATTCGAATCAAGACGCGGCGGGGATCGAGGTGAGCCAGTCCCACGTTTCATTTGTCAGGACAAATTGTCCTTGTGAGTTTTTTTTTTTTGGGGGGGGGTTTTCATATGAATGTTTGGAACGCGTGTGAGGTTTTGATGTCGAGCTGCTCACGGTGCCGCGCGTGCGGTTGCCTGGTGTACGACGAGGAGATCATGGCGGGGTGGACGCCTGACGATTCCAACCTCAACTCCCGCTGCCCATTTTGTGCCGCCTCCTTCGTCCCCTTCCTCAATGCCCACATCTGTGACCTGCGACCCCCCGGCAGGTACGAGTCGCCAATGCCGCCGTGTGACATTCCCGTGCCCGCCGCGGGCTTCATCATCTTTTGGTCTTCTGGACATTTCCAGTGACGGCGAGGGTGAAACTGGCATCCAGCCTCCCGGCGGTCAGCCGGCGGGGCCGGCGTGTAACGGCTTGGGTGACGACCTCACCCCAGAGAGCGACGCAACCGTGGTAAGGCTAGAGCGATGCGAACCGGTCGACCGTGCCACACAGCGTGACTGGTAGTGACGGTGCGCGGCCCCCAGGTGGCGGTGGCGTACGTGAGTCCGCTGGTGCTCCGGAAGGAGCTGGAAAGCCTCCTGGACCACGAGGGCGAGGCGGTGCTCGGCCAGCGGCAGTTCCTGGAGAGCCACTGCATCATCTTCTGGAACCTTCTGTGGTTCTTCCAGCGCCTCGGTTTGCCGAGCCACCTGCTGCGGCTTGTGCGACTCCTCGTCAAGCCCACGCAGGTAAAACATACCAGAAAGCTGCATTTCTCTTCGATGTCAACTTCTTTGCATTCTTCAGTTTTCGTTACTGCTCTAACTGAAAAAGCAACCCCCCCCCCCCTCCAAAAAAAAAAGGCAGCTTAATTACGTGCACCTTTTAGACCTGTTCAGATCAAGTTTCAATCCATTTTACTTAAGGTCAGATCAGGTTCCAGTCGGTTTACTTCTGCATCAGGTTTCAATTAATTTGTGAGATTCTCATCAGAATCAGATCTGGTTCACATCCGATGCAGAGCTGGATCAGGTTAAAATACGTTTCATAGTAGTTTTACTGTACTTTCTTTGATTAATTTCAGATCAATCTCAAGTAAGTCTGATTCAGATCACGTCAGGTTCAAAGACAGTATGGATCGAGATGATCCGCAACTCCGTAAAATCCAATTCGGATCACAATCGGGTTCATATGACTTATGATTACGATTTCAAATCAAGGGTAGGTTCAAATACATTTCTGTTAGGTTTGGATTCGGATCAAATACGTTTTGGGATTCAGTGTAGTTAATGTCATATAGCAAGGAATCAAATTGTCGGTTTGATATTCGATGATCAATTTCAGCAGCGCGGTTGCACATCTGAAAAATAACACCTTTTCACATTGGGGTACGTGTGTACGTGTGTGTGTGCGTGTGTGTGTGCGTGTGTGTCAGTCGGAAAGTGCATGTCTTCGTGTGAGGCTCCTGTGGGACACCCTGACCCCCGACCCTGACTCGTGGCCACCCCTCTACGTACTGTGGCGTCTTCACAGTAAGTGAGCTTTTCGACGTGCGTGCTCACCTTAGCCCCACACCCACCCGACTACCCCCCCCGGAACAGGCGGCGTTCCCGTGCGCGGCTCCCGCTGGCGTCGCCACAACCACCCTTTCACGCTGGCCTTCCTGGAGGAGGTACTGCGCTGCGTGGGCATGAACGAGGTCCACAAGGCCGTCACGCTCTTCCTCAACACTGTCGACGAGGCGCGACGACACGCCCGCACCGCCGCTCCGCCGCTCCGCAGGTCAGATGTGGAACTGTGCACTCGCGCCGCATTCAGCTTTTGTGTGTGACTGACTGAATGTTTCAGTGTGTAACTGTCAGTGGTGGGTGGGTCAGTCAATTGTTTGTCAGTTTGTCATTCGCCACTGATGTCCTCAGTCCATCATTATTTCAAGTTGGCCCAGTCCGCCAGCCCATGATTCCGTCATCGTTGTTTTCACTGCGCGGAAGTTTTCGCGAAAATGTGTGCGTGTGTGTGTGTGTGCGTGTGTGTGTGTGTGTGTGTGTGTGTGTGTGTGTGTGTGTGTGTACAAATGTATGTTCTGTTTCCAATTGTCTGTGTGTGTGCGTGCACATGCGCACGTGTGCATTCAGGAGCGTGTACCGAGAGTTGCTGTTCCTGACCCTGGCGGCAATGGGCAAGGATCATGCGGGTAAGTCTGGGGAGGGGTCGTGAGGCGGGAAATTGGGTCTATACCTTTGGGCGAACACAGCTGCGTCGTCCTCACAGGTGCGTTCGACAAGAAGTACAAGTCGGCGTACGCGCGCCTCAGTGGCGTCATGTGCAAAGAAGAACTGCGCGAGAAGCGAGCGCAGCCTCCCAGCGCCAAAGCCCTGGACTGCAGACGCAGCTTCCAGCCGCCGCTCCAGTGCTGATCGGTCGCCGCTTCGATGCCAGTCGATCAGTGGCAACCCGCTTCCTCCTCTTCGCCGGCCCTCCGAAGCGGCGCGGCCACCCTGGCGCGCGCCCAGGCACCCATACGTCGTAGGCCGCCGCCACTCAACTAAGCCGCAACCACGTGAATTCCCGTGTTGTGAGCGAGCAAAGATGGAGACGCATCCCCTTTGTGTTTTCCCGGCACAGTCGTAAAAGAGTTTGCGGCAGCCCATGATGTCAAGGTGATGTCATTGTGATTTCATCAGGCGGTGTTTGCAGGAAAAGTTGCTTGACGAATCACTTTGTGATCATGCGACCTGAGCCACGTGTCCACTTGTGATGTCATTTTGCCCCCGCAAAAAAAAAAAAAAAAAGTTTGGCTCAAGATTATTTCAACAAAAAAAATGTTGTTTACTCTGTAATTTATTCTGTTGTAAATGTTGTTCTTTTTTTTTAAAGAAAATAAAAGCAGGGATGAGAATTTTCTGATCGAATATTTTTTGTACGTCTGGTCGTTGTCGAGCGGTGCCTTTCGATATGATCACTTTTGTTCTTAAATGTATGGTTGTTTTTTAGAACAATATTAGAGCAATAGTATTTTGTTGTCAAATACACAACAAAAACTAGTTCTATAGTTGACTTGTTCAGCGTCACTTCATTTCCTGCTTTACTCGAACCTCCATATGAAAAAACCACGTTTCAATCTGAAGCGTGTTTTTTTTTTCCGTCCATCCATCCATCCATCCATTCATGATTTGAATGAATCATCTTCACGCAGGTCGCAGGAGTGCCGAAACCGATCTCCGCTGTCTTCGGGCAGTAGGCGGGGTAGACCCTGAACCGGTCACCAGCCTTTAATCCAGCAGTGTGAAACACAGGGCCCGCGGGCCAGAACCGGCCCGCAAGGAGGATTGATCAGGCCTGCAGGATAATTTAAATGTGGGGGGGGGGGAAATACATAAAAGACACGGAATGAATATTTTTTACAAAATGCAATTCTTGGATGATCCGCTAGGGGGCACACAGTTTTCTCCTTCGTTTGTAAAGTGCAGGCCGGGATTCAGTTTTGATTTTATATGCAAGTGTGCAGATGGTTTAAAAAATCATTTTTTCATGAATCTCGTTTCATCTGAAAATGCATGACGATATTTTTCAATACCAGCTACAATTGTTGAAGTTTTGTGCCTTTGTACAATCAGTGGGATCCGTTGCAATGCATCCATGGGAAAGATCAAAGTAACATTTGTCAAAGGAAATCCAAGGTTTTTCGTGAAATGTTTTCGAAAAGAGATGTTCATGAAATGAAAAACAAATGAAAAAACAAAGGAAAGACATGATCGTTTTTGGCAGAGTATGGTACAATTTTAATGGTCCGGCCCATTTGCCATCTGCCGAGGCCGTATGCGGCCCACATTGTCAAATGAGTTTGCCCCCCCCCC